GGGGGGGGACAGACAGGAAAAAGAAATGTAAAACTTCTGTGAGGTTATTAAAATTTGGTCTTCCTATCCGATTGACAACGGTTGCCCTCATTTCTTCTTCTGCTAACAAAGGTTGCCATATAAACACAGAAATTAAGGAAAATCTCCCATTCTAGGACACCAAACAATAAAAACCTTCACAGAAGTATTTCTTCTATGCGTTTCCTAGAAAAAAAACCCAAACGGTTTTGGCAGGTGTTGTGCCTTAAAACACTGCTTTATTTATATAACTGACTAAAAGAACATGAGATATGGGTAAAATGTACACATATCACAAATAATTAGCATAATTAAAGTTGAATTCTGAGGGGAGAAAAAAAAAAGGTTAAATGCTCATTTAGGTCTAGGATACCTAAAAAAAAGAACTAATCCTTACCTAATCTCCGCTCATGCAGACTAGCTCCAGACTACAAGACTGGCACCCACAGATGCCCCCCTACGCTCCGGCGGTTGAACGGTGACATTATCAGTTACAATGCAGGGCCCATAGGAAGCCGAGACATGGTCCACAAGCTGGAGCGTAGGGAAGATGGAGAGTGCTGACTGCCAGGGAAGACGGGGAACAGGTAAGTAGTACTACATTACACAATACTCTGGACCTTAACAAGCATTTAACCCTTTCAGTGTGGGGGTAGTCCCACCACAAGGAGTTTATCGTTTCCCCCCAGAGATAGGCTTTAAAGTGAATACGTGCCCAGATCATGCACACAAAAGTATTTACATGTTTTGAACAAGCAGTAAAAGCACTTTAAGATAATCTCTAAATCAACTCTGTATCTACAGGCATTGTAGAGAAAATAGAATTTTTGTACTCACCTTAAAATACTTTTTTGGAGTCCATGGGGGGACACAGGAATAACAATACTGACAGGTTATACTGCCACCTACAGGAGGATAGGACACTAGCAAAGAAAAAAAATAGACCAGCCCAGATTAACCCCTTGTGTATCCAGCATGCCTGGTTTGTAGCAAGCAGTACCAAAAAAATAAACAGATGGGTGGGACTTGTGTCCCTCAATGGACTCAGAGAAAAGGATTTTACAAAAACCCTATTTTCTTTCACTTCATTGAGAGATCAAGGAATTCAGATACTGTCAGGACATCCAAAAAGGAGTGCAATAGATGGACAACAGAGCAGCAACCACTAACAGGCCCAAAAAACAAAACTAGCAACTGCCTTCAGCGAAAGACACAACTGGGAGACCTAGCCTAAATCTGAAAACAAATTAGGCCGAGTCCTCTACCAGTCCAAAGGGAGGGCACATTTGAGCAACATCTGATTTTCAAGACCAAGATAGAAGGCCACCACCAGAGGAGAACGACCCCACACAAGGAAACACTGAACCAGCTCTTAACTGATCAACCAAAACTCACCAACAGGTGTTTTTATAATTTACTGCGAAGGGAAGAAAAGATCAACAACCTGATGTGGTCAACAAGAATTGGGGACAGACCCCTAGAATGAACAGCACCCAAGAACGAACCCAAGACAAAACGGACCTCGAGAGAAAGACCAGCTGGCCTAAGTGGGAAAGTCCTAAGCCTGTGCATCCCTGACCCCCTAGGATCAAGGGAGGAGAACTCGGCATTGCAAGAGATGGCCTGGCCAGACAACTAACCTCAAAAAGTGAGACTTAACAGGGAAAACCCTTAATTATGTAGAACACAAAAACCTACAAAGGGTGTGAAATGACTCCCGAGTCAACGAGAGAACTTAAGAACTTGATCCAATAAAGTCAAAAAGACTGGAAGGGGTAGGGTGCAACATGGGAAGCATCCCCACAAAAGGCATGAAAGTAAGACCTTTGGCTCCAAACTGGTGAGATGGGATCAACCAGATGGAACAGAAGATGAAGCTAATACATCCTTCTCTGGTACACAAGAGGTGACTCTGGGGCAACGCCAGAGGGATCACTTTGAAGGACAATAGGGCCTATCCCTGACCATAGACCTAGGCATACTCCTAATACTCTAGATCCAGTGAAGCATCAGCATTGTTGGGAGCAAGGAACAGGAATCTTACAGCTGCAAATTAGCCAAGGAAAGAGGACCTAACCCCAGGTGGACAGGTCCCCCGAATACAATAAGGATACCTGCAACAGAAGACTAAAGGGTTCTGCCCACCAACCGTCCAGGGGGCCCTCCTCAGACAACCTTCGTCTCCAATGCAGTGTCAGAGGTGCACCCAAATGAATGAGTATCTCCTCCATGTCCAGAGGTTTACCAGTAGAGTGGAACTGGCTTCCAATGGATTATCCTTAAAGGAGAACTATGGGGTCAGGGCTTTTCCCCATAGTTCTCCTTAGGGTAACGGGAGGACACAAACTAGCGTCCTCCGTTACCCTAAGCTCAGTATACCGCAAGCTACAGCTCGCGGTATACAGAGACGCCGCAGCGGATCCCGACATCGATGTCGAGATCCGCCCAGCTGCGTGAGTGACAGCTGGCTCTGCCTATCTAGAGGCAGAGCCAGCTGTACCACCCCGTCCGTTCCGCCAGTCAGCGCAGGCGGATCGCAGCGGGGAATCCAGCCCCTCCCCTGTCACGGCAGAGAGCTGTGACAGGATCGAGAGGTGAGCGAACACCGGTATATGTTCGCTCACCTCCCGATCTACTGAGCCGACCTGTGACAGTCTCATTGTCACAGGTCGGCTAGAACTATGAGGTGAGTAAAAAGCACTCACCTCATAGTTCTCCTTTAAGGGGATCAGTGTGGGTGAGACTCAAGATATACAGTATCGTCCACAGCACAGAGGTCAGACTACCTTTAGCGCAGGATGGACGCCTACCCTTTCTCAGTGGTGATGACACAACAGTAACAAGATGGTGTTTGAGCCCAAAACAAGAGACTTACCCAAAGAAGGATACCACAATGTAGAAGCCACCTGTTTTGGAAAACCAGAGTTAAACCTACAACAGAGGAGAAAGGGTATGAAAGTGCACTGAGAATACCTAGGAGATAACCGGTTTTCCTGTTATGGCAGGTCACTGACAGACCCATAATGGGTACAGTGGGTATGAACCACCATTTAACAAATCCCCTCTCAAAAGGGACAGTTCTACCACACCCTCAGGCGAGGCTTGGGACCCTTCAAGGTGCTTCCAGTTTACATAGAAATACTTTGAAAGGAGCATGCAATTGAAAGGGGGCTCTGGAGGATCCAAAGCTGGAGACAGCAGGCTGATAGTTTAAATGCAATGTAGTGCACACATAGCATAACTAAGGACCTCGGGCAGATCAGAGACTCTGCAGTGGAAATCCAAGAAAGAAAAAAAAGGTTAAAGATTGGTTAGACTTTCCTCAGCAGAGGTGAACAAAAGATGTCCAACCTTCTAGGACACTAGCAAAAAACTGAGACATGCTGGGTAGAGGAGAGGTTATCCAAGGCTAGCCAACAATTTTTCTTGTTTGCCAGTGTAGACTAGTGCAGTTCTCCTGTAGATGGCCATATAACCTGACCGTATCTAAATTCCTGAGTCCTTCAATGGACAGGAAAGTTCACAACACAGGTGATTAAATCTTAGCCTTTTCTTCTATAAGAACAGATCTTGGCAGCCTGCAAGATCTCTAATGTAAGCACACAGCTGATGTTTCTAAGGTGTCAACAGGCAGATATTGGGCTGTAGAGTCTTTGTTGTAATGTTCAAGAATGAACAAGTTCACACTTTTGTTGTTTATTCTGTTAAACAGACCAAATCACACCAGAAAAGGTGTGTGTATTTGTTTTTGGGGTTTTCTTTAAACTAAGTGCACCACAATACAAGGTGCATTACTGTGTGTTGTAGTGGCCTACAATGCACATCTGCTGGCACTGCAGCACACAAAACGCATGTTTTCACACGCTGCTGCCCAGCAACAGTGTGAACCCAGCATAAAAGCAGCTAGGGAGTTCAGGGATGGCTTGTGTTTACTGCTTGTCAAGAATATGTAAATAGTTAATGCTCAAAAGGTGCACTTTCAAATTAATTTTGAACTATACAGACAAAATAGACTGAAAGTAACACAAATAAACTTTACATTCTGGTTGATAAATGCTCAAAGGGCCCATGCACATTTATGTGTTATGAAAAGGAGTCTGTTACCACACTTTACATTCTGCACAGCAATGCCTGCACTGCAGTATGGTGCTATTCCTTTTCGATGGCAAACCAATGCATTGTTACTGCTAGCAGTACAATATAAAAGCGCCACACACCCTCTGCCTCTCTAGAGCCAGAGCCAGCTCTGCCCGCCCCCTCCCTCGTCCATCCCTCCAGTCAGCGCTATAGGAATAGGAAGAGGGGAAGGGGGTCACAGCTCTCCGCAGGGAGGAGATGGTGAACTGAGCAATCAGCGGTATGTGATTGCTCAGTTCTCGATCTATAGAGCCAACGTGCGACAGCTGCAGTGTCACATATCAGCTCTAATTATGGGGATGAGTGCATTTCACTCTCTCCATAATTCTCCTTTAACACACTTCAACAGCCCAGAGAAATGTGCATGGTCCCCTACTGTGTGCAATGAAGAGACAGGGAACAGCACAGCAAACAAACACTAAGCAAGCATAGCTAAATGTCTACATCCTAAAAAGGTTAGAGGTATATTATTCAGACAAGCACCTTGTGTTGGCTATCCTTTCCCTCCATTCCTCTGATAGGAAGTCTCCACGTTCCAGCTAAATATGATAAAACACCCATTATTTATAGAAAGTCAAGTTTACAAAAAATACAAAAAGAAACTGATAAAACCTAAAATCTTAAAATCACAATTTTCAGTGCTGCCTGAGCATTTTAATGCTTTATCTTGTTTTGTACCAGTGCAGGGTACAAAGCAAAATGGGAAAAAATAAAGTTAAAGCAATCCTGCTGCCATGTTAGATAAAAAATTTGCAGCATGTAGAGGACAAAAATTGATACATTTGGTAGGCAGTGTTTTAAATCTTCAATCTTTTCAAGAGAAACCAAAACCACTGATATTCAATACTTCTGACTGTCAATATATGGTGCTTATTAGAAATGTGTCTTACTCTGCAACACCCATTGTACTGTGTCAGAAAGATTTGACGGGGTCATTATATCCCCACTCTACCTACTCATGGCAATGTCTGTACACTGTGCTTGCTATACTTTACACGGACCAAGGCTTTTTACTGCTTTTCCTCCTACACTTACATTTGAAAATGTAAAGGGCCAATCCCCTCCTCCTGCCTCTTCAATAAAATGAATAATGTTAGTAGTAAAATCTACACTCTAGTACACTCAGATCCGCTGTACTGCTATCATCCCGGATATCACCCCAGTGCACTGTTGATACAGATTTTACATTTATTCAATAAGATGCCCTGTGCCTCTATGTTATATGCAGTGTCCCATACCTTGCTATCACAGACAAATTGGGCACCTCCTCAAAAGCTGCACAACCAAAAACATTTTAGTCAAGATGTAAGAAAAATGCTTCAAAGGAAAACAAAGATGAAAGCCCAGCATTAAACTGGCTGCCCACATTACAATTTGACAACAACTCAGTAGTATCCGAGGGCCTACTTAAATAATTAATTACTATCCAATCAGACAGAATACAGAACTGCACTTTAGGTAAATCTAAGCAAGACTGCACAAGAAGACTGTTGGGTGTGCTGGGGTCTAATAAGAAATGGTCCCATTAATCCAGTCAATGTTTTATATAAACTCATACACATTTTTTGAATACACTGGATCTTAGGTCAAACCAAAAACCTTTGCATTTATGTACAGTTCTTAGGGGAGGGTTAAAACATAGTTACATAGTATTTGAGGTTGAGTCCCTGTGTGATCTTGTTTTTAAGAGTACCTGTACCCCTGTATGTTACGGTCTCTGAGGAAGGTGTCCAAATGCTTTTTGAATGATTCAATACTGTTAGCTGATACCACTGCTCGTGGCAGCAAATTCCAGATTTTAATAGCTCTGATATGTTTATTGCTGATGTTGCCATCACCACTGAACATCTTGTACACCAAAATCATGTCCTCCCTTAGTTGCCTCACTTCCAGCGTGAACATGTTTAAATTTAGTAACCTTGTCTCATAGCTTTGGTCCTCCATCCCCTTAGTTTAGTTGCCCTTCTCTGGATTCTCTCCAGCTCAAAGACAACCTTTCTGTGAAAAACATTAGTCCATTCTCTCTATTTCCACTATTCCAAACTACCCATTCAAGAAAATGACATGCACATTTCCTTTTTTTTTCTTATTATTTTAAAAGTATAGCATGAACTAAATCTAAGCCTTGTACATTACATAGAGTTTAAATGTCAACACACACTAAGGGTCCCCGGTTCAAATCCCAGCCAGGTCACTATCTGCAGGGAGTTTGCATGTTCTCCCTGTGCTTGTGTGGGTTTCCTCTGGGCACTCCGGTTTTCATAGTATTTGAGGTTGAATAAAGACATAAGTCCATCATGTCCCACACTCCAAAGACATGCTGGAAGGTTAATTAGCTGCTGCCTAAATTGGCCCTCATATGTATGTATGTATGTATGTATGTATGTATGTATGTATGTATGTATGTATGTGAGATGGGGACCTTAGATTGTAAGCTCCTTGAGGGCAGGGCCTGATGTGAATGTGCACTGTGTAAAGCGCTACGTCAATTGTCCGCGCTATATAAATACCTGTGAATATAAATAATCTAACATGTGCCTAAAACATGCAGATGTAAATGGGGCTGCCTTATTGCAGTGTTTAGTTTAAAATAATACTTGAGGTCCGTCTCGTTTCTACACGTTTGCTCTGCCATATTTCTGTCAATGTATAAAATATATAGACAACTCTAGAGACATGTTAATAGCCACAGAATGAGTGCATTGTTTGGGCCAATAAGCCCAGATTTGCAGTGTCAGTATGCATTCACACAACTGCATTGTTGTAACGCACATTACATTTAATGGTGCACTGCACTGACATTCATTGTGAATGGCATACCTATGCACCTTAAAACACGTGGGCCGTAATGCACCGCAGAGCACCATACGTGTCCTGTGTATTGCACTGCTAAATGTGAAACCTGCTTCAATTTCATGTGCATTGCTGTGTGTTACACCCCCAACACAAGCATCCATGCAGTTGAGTGAATGACCCTGCGTAATGTCAGAAGCAGTAAAGCAAAGCAATTTTGCAAAACAGTAATAAGCAAATATGGCCATATATACTGGAAAAAGATGTAAAAAAAAATTGTTTTAAACCTCAAAATATTGATAAGATGTTTTACATTATGTTCAAACTCTTTTACATGTTTACCACTTAAACCTTTGAAAGAGTACACATTACCTTAAAGCAATACTTACTGTATATTCTGAATGCTTCTTTCCATACCATTTCATCCACTTTCTAAACTCTTTATCCATTGTCTACAATAAACAAGCAATTTTTAGGTCACAATATAACTGCACATTAAAAGAGCCACTAACATTATCACTGATTCTTACAAGTATGCAAGGAAAAGCGCGCCCCACTCCTTTTTAACACGAGAGGCAAACAAGCCCATAAAAAGCAAAGCAGTTCTCCGTTTATATATATTTTTTTTTTTGAAAAATTCTGTTTATTAAATTTTTGCATGCAAATACATTACAACATTCCTCCTACAACAGTAGGGGCACATACTTCGTTACTAACAGGTACAACCTACACATACTCCACCTGCACTTCCTTGCGGAAGGAAAATTACAAAACATACATACATAACCCCCCCCC